GTTTCCTTGCAGACGTTTCATGACCCAACTAGGGAACATCATCAGTGCTAGAAGGGGGGAGGAGGAGGAAAAGGAGGAGGAGGAGGAGGAGGAGGAAGAGGAGCAGGAGGAGGAAGAGGAGGATTGTGGGGTCCTTGGTGCTCTCTGAGCTGGGTGGTTTCCTTGCAGACATTTCATGACCCAACTAGGGAACATCATCAGTGCTAGAAGGGAGTGTGGGAGGAGGAGGAGGAGGATGATTGTGGGGTCTTTGGTGCTCTCTGAGCTTGTTTTTTTCCTAGGAGACGCCTCATGACCCAACTAGGTAACAATATCACTTCTACGGGGGAGTAGGGTTTTCGGAATGGAGGAGGATGGTGGAGTCCATGATGCTTTCTGAGATGGCTGGTTTTTGTGTAGGTGTTTCATGGCCCAACTAGGGAACATCATCAGTGCTAGAAGGGAGGGGGTTTGCAGAGTGGAAGAAGGGAGAGGAGGAGGAGGAGGACGACTGTGGGGTCCCTGCTGCTCCCTCAGCTGGTTTTCTTTCTTGCGGACGTCTCGTGACCCAACTAGGTAACACCATCAGTGCTCCGGAGACGGCTCCTTGCACCTCAAGTGCCATTTGAGCATCTAAACTCAGCCCTTTAAAGTCCGCTTGGACTTCAACTCCCAGAATTCCCCAGCCAGCAAGGTGTGTGTGTGTGTGTGTGTCCTTCTCACCTTGATGCCCTCGGTGGATTTGAGGGAATAAATCAGAAGAGTGGTGATGCGAGGCAGGTACGGACTGATCGAATCCCCCATCACGTTCGCCAGAGAGCCGAAAAGGCTGTACCTGGAGAGAATTGGGGGTTAAAAATAATCCTTGTTTTTTTGGGAGTTGGCAACCCAAAAATTTTTTTTTAACCTTATAGCTAGTCCTCGACTTACGACAGTTCATTTAGCGACCGAAGTTACAACGGCACTGGAAAAAAAAATGACATGGCCGTATTTGACACAACCATTGCGGCCTTCCCCGTGATCAAAATTAGGACGCTTGGCCAACCGACTCCTATTTATGACGGTCGCAGCGGCCCGGGTGTGTGTGTGCGTCCTTTGATCCCCTTTTGCGACCTTTTGACAAGCAGAGTCAATGGGGGAAGCCGGATTCACTTAACAACCGGCTAACTGAACCGCTGCAGTGATTCATTTAACGACCATGGCACGTAAGGGGGCAAAATTCACGTAAGGGATGTCTCATTTAGCGACGGAAATTCTGGGGTCCATTGGAGTTGTAAGCCGAGGATATGAGAGCGTGCCCAGTCTTATTGCACTGAGATAATCCAGGAGTAAACACAGTAAAAACAGTGGTTTGTATTAAATGGTGGTTTAGCGTACGCTATCTAGAACAGGGGTCTTCAAACTTGGCCCTTTGATGACTTGTGGACTTCATCTCCCAGAATTCCTCAGCCAGGCATGCCTGAATTTATTTTATATAATTTATCAATTTATAATTTATATCAACATATTTATATTTTACATTTACATGGTTGTTTTTTTTTTTTTTTTTTTTTTGGGGTTTTTTTGGGGTTTATATTTTTGTGTTTTTGTATTTTTGTATTTGTGTATAGTATCTGTTTTTAAATATGCTGTGAACCGCCCTGAGTCCTACGGGAGAAGGGCGGTATATAAATTAAATTATTATTATTATTTAAATTAGATCAATTTATAATTTATTGATCAATTTATAATTTATTGATCAATTTATATATTTATATAACTTTATATTTACATAAATTTACATTACATAATTTTATAGTTAGACATTGATAATTTGCATAAATGTATATTTATATAATTTTATATTTATATGAATTTATTTTATATAATTTATAATTTACCAATTTATAATTTATATCAATTTATATATTTATATTTTACATTTACATGCATTTAAATTATATCAATTTATAATTGATCAATTTATAACTTATATCAATTGATATATTTATATAACTTTATATTTACATAAATTTGCATTACATAAATTTAGACATTGGTAATTTGCATAAATGTATATTGATATAACTTATATGTATATGAATCTATTTTATATCATTTATAATATACCAATTTATAATTTGTTGATCAATTTATCATTTATTGATCTATTTATAATTTATATCAATTGATATATTTATATAATTTTATATTTATATGAATTTAAATGATATAAATTTATATCAATATATATATAAAAATACATAAATATTGTAAAATATTTATTTATTAGTTATTTAGCTAATTAATCTTGGGGGTTTTTTAACCCCAGCCCTGCCTTCCTTGAAACCCCCCCCCATGTGGTAGACTGGGGTCTAACTTGTTTAAAATGAAACAAGGTTAGTCAAGGTGAGAGGGAAAAGTCACCACCAGGTGATGGGAGAGGCCCTAGCAGACTTACGTGCATCGTCGCAGGTCTGGGTCGTCCACTCTGTCGCAGAGGTCCAGACCAAGCTGGCAGCACTTCTCGGAAAGCGGCTGGAAGATGTCTTTATCCAGGACGTTGGCCAGGATAGCCATTGTCTCTGTGAAGGGAACAGGGAAGATAGGCATCAATCGGAATTTCTCTCAACGGTGGCCATTTTGAGATATGCGGACTTCAACTCCCAGCATTCCCCACTCAAAAGCTTGGGGACCTCTGTCCTAGGCCAAAAGGCTGGATAGCCAGTGGAACAGCTTGCCTCCAGAAATCGTGGGCGCTCGATCACTGGAGATTTTTAAGAAGAGGCTGGACAGTCACTTGTCTGAGATGGTATAGGTCCTCCTGCTTGAGCAGGGGGCTGGACTAGAAGACCTCCAAGGTCCCTTCCAGTTCCTATTCCTATTCTATTCTATTTTGTAATTCTATTCTATTCTATCCCATAATTCTGTTCTATTCTATTCCAGATCATTCTGTTATTATTCTATTCTATTCTATTCTGTAATTCTATTCTATTCTATTCTATATTCTATCCCATAATTCTATTCTATAATTCTATTCTATTCCAGATCATTCCGTTATTATTCTATTCTATTCTGTAATTCTATTCTATTCTATTCTATATTCTATCCCATAATTCTATTCTATTCTATATCATTCCGTTATTGTTCTATTCTGTTCTATTCTATTCTATTCCATTCCATTCCATATCTATTCTATTCTATTAATATTATTCTATTCTATTCTATTCTATTCTATTCTATTCTATTCTATTCTATTCTATTCTATTCTATTCTATTCTATACTCTATTCTATTCCATTCCATTCCATTCCATTCTATATCTATTCTATATCTATTCTATTCTATTCTATTCTATTCCATTCCATTCCATTCCATTCCATTCCATTCCATTCCATATCCTATTCTATTCTATTCTATTCTATTAATATTATTCTATTCTCTTCTATTCTATTCTTCCATTCCATTCCCATTTCAACAATGGCTGCCAGGTTGCCGAAGGTTTTTCCTTACCGATCGACTGAATCTGGACGGGCCTGAGGTCTTCCCGGGTGGTCAGCATGTAACTCGTGAGGTGCTCCATGATGGCTTGGAAATACGGGAGAAGAGATTCCTTGGCAGCCTGGGCTGGAGGTCACAAGGGATGAGGATCAGCAGGGACCGGCGCCACCAGAAATGATCTAAGGATCTGGTTTGTGCTTTCGGCCTTCCTACAGCCAGATCTGTGACTCGGTTTGGCCCAGTGAGGGAGGCACCAGGCTAGAAACCGGGAGACGGTGAGTTCGAGTCCCGCCTGAGGCATGAAAGCTGCCTGGGTGAATTTGGGCCAATCATGAGACCGGGAGTTCCAGTCCCACCTTAGGTGCGAAAGGCGGCTGGGTGACCTTGGGCCAATGACCAGGAGATGGCAGGTTCTAGTCCCGCCTTAGGCAGGAAAAATGGGTGGATGACTTTGGTCCAATCACCAGGAGACGATGAGTTCTAGTCCTGCCTTAGGCACAAAAGACGTTTGGGTGACTTTGGACCAATCATGAGGAGACTGGGAGTTCCAGTCCTGCCCTAGGCAAGAAAGCTGGGTGGGTAACCTTGGACCATGGGCCAATGACCAGGACGATGGGAGTTCTAGCCCTGCCTTAGGCGTGAACGGCGATTGGGTAATCTTGGGCCAACGACCAGGAGACTGGGAGTTCTAGTCCCGCCTTAGGCTTGAAAAGCGATTGGGTGACCTTGGGCCAACGACCAGGACACTGGGAGTTCTAGTCCCATCTTAGGCTTGAAAGGCGATTGGGTGACCTTGGGCCAACGACCAGGAGATTGGGAGTTCTAGTCCCGTCTTAGGCTTGAAAGGCGATCGGATGAACTTGGGCCAACAACCAGGAGACTGGGAGTTCTAGTCCTGCCTTAGGCTTGAAAGGCGATTGGGTGACCTTGGGCCAACGACCAGGAGACTGGGAGTCCCGCCTTAGGCATGAAAGGCGATTGGGTGACCTTGGGCCAACGACCTGGAGACTGGGAGTTCTAGTCCTGCCTTAGGCATGAAAGGCGATTGGGTGACCTTGGGCCAACGACCAGGAGACTGGGAGTTCTAGTCCCGCCTTAGCCATGAAAGGCAATTGGGTGACCTTGGGCCAACGACCAGGAGACTGGGAGTTCTAGTCCCGCCTTAGCCATGAAAGGCAATTGGGTGACCTTGGGCCAACGACCAGGAGACTGGGAGTTCTAGTCCCGTCTTAGGCATGAAAGGTGGCTGAATAATTGTGGGCCAGTTCCACGCTCAGGGTTTTGTGTGTGTGTGTGTGTGTGTGTGTGTGTGTGTGTGTGTGCGCGCAGATCGGCCTACCAATGGCTCCGATGGCGCTAACGGCCAGCTCCTTGGTGCGCGGAATCCCAGGAGAGGTCAAGGTGCTGAGCATCCTCTCCATCAATGCTGGCAGGTAGGGTGCAATCTTATCTTCTGTTGGGAGCAGAGAGAAATGGTTAAATTGTTAATCATTCCGACCTCGGCCATTTTGAGAGGGGTGGACTTCAATTCCCAGAATTCCCCAGCCAGCATAGAGTTGAAGTCCATTCCCGCTTTCAAGTTGCCTGAAGTGGAGAAACACAGCTTTAGGGCCTCTCGTGAACCCATTACAGGCAACCCTCAAGTTACAACTATTCTCTTAAGTGACCACTGCAAAAAAAAAAAAATGTCATAAAACCGGGTCAGTCACTCGATGTTGTACATTCTGACAGAAAAAAAGGCTATTTTAGGCCCCAAAATGGATTCCCACAACGGACGAATGGTTGCAAAAACCGAGGGAGTTGGAATTAACGGCTTGGATTAAAGAAAAGGACACAATTAATGCTTGTGGTGGAAAAACAAAATGAAACTTGGACTTTGGGTTTTGAGGTAGGTTTCATGCTAGGCAACCTTGGCTTTTTTATGACTCGTGGACTTCAACTCCCAGAATTCCTGAGTCAGCATGGGGGAACTATGGCCTTCATGACTCGTGGACTTCAACTCCCAGAATTCCTGAGCCAGCATGGCTCACCTTGGAAATCTCTCCCTTTCCCCTCAGTGTGGCTGGCTCAGGAATTCTGGGAGTTGAAGTCCACCAGTCATAAAAGAGCCAAGGTTNTTTCTGAGCTGGGTGGTTTCCTTGCAGACGTTTCATGACCCAACTAGGGAACATCATCAGTGCTAGAAGGGGGGAGGAGGAGGAAAAGGAGGAGGAGGAGGAGGAGGAGGAGGAGGAGGAGGAGGAGGGAGAGGAGGAGGAGGAGGGACGATAGAGGACTGTGGGGTCCTTGGTGCTCTCTGAGCTGGGTGGTTTCCTTGCAGACATTTCATGACCCAACTAGGGAACATCATCAGTGCTAGAAGGGAGTGAGGGGGGAGGAGGAAGAGAAGGATTGTGGGGTCTTTGGTACTCTCTGAGCTTGTTTTTTTCCTTGGAGACGTCTCATGACCCAACTAGGTAACAATATCACTTCTACGGGGGAGTAGGGTTTTCGGAGTGGAGGAGGATGGTGGAGTCTCTGAGATGGCTGGTTTTTGTGTAGGTGTTTCATGGCCCAACTAGGAAACACCATCAGTGCTAGAAGGGAGGGGATTTGCAGAGTGGAAGAAGGGAGAGGAGGAGGAGGAGGAGGAGGAGGACTGTGGGGTCCCTGCTGCTTCCTCAGCTGGTTTTCTTTCTTGCGGACGTCTCGTGACCCAACTAGGTAACACCATGAGTGCTCCAGAGACGGCTCCTTGCACCTCAAGTGCCATCCGAGCGTCTAAACTCAGCCCTTTGAAGTCCGCTTGGACTTCAACTCCCATAATTCCCCAGCCAGCACGACGTGTGTGTGTGCGTGTGTGTGTGTTGCCTTCTCACCTTGATGCCCTCGGTGGATTTGAGGGAATAAATCAGAAGAGTGGTGATGCGAGGCAGGTACGTGCTGATCGAATCCCCCATCACGTTCGCCAGAGAGCCGAAAAGGCTGTACCTGGAGAGAATTGGGCGTTAAAAATAATCCTTGTTTTTTTTGGAGTTGGCAACCCCCCCAAAAAATTAACCTTATAGCTAGTCCTCGACTTACGACAGTTCATTTAGCGACCGTTCGAAGTTACAAGGGCACTGGGGGGAAAAAACGACGTGGCCGTATTTGACACAACCGTACGCGGCCTTCCCCGTGATCAAAATTCGGACGCTTGGCAAACCGACTCCTATTTAGGACGGTTGCAGCGTCCAAGGTGTGTGTATGTGTGCGTCGTATGATCCCCTTTTGCGACCTTTTGACGAGAGTCAATGGGGGAATCCGGATTCACTTAACAACCGGCTAACTGAACCGCTGCAGTGATTCATTTAACGACCATGGCACATAAGGGGGCAAAATTCACGTAAGGGATGTCTCATTTAGCAACGGAAATTCTGGGGTCCATTGGAGTTGTAAGCCAAGGATATGAGAGCGTGCCCAGTCTTATTGCACTGGGATAATCCAGGAGTAAACACAGTAAAAACAGTGGTTTGTATTAAATGGTGGTTTAGCGTACGCGATCTAGAACAGGGGTCTTCAAACTTGGCCCTTTGATGACTTGTGGACTTCATCTCCCAGAATTCCTCATCCAGGCATGCCTGAATTTATTTTATATAATTTATCAATTTATCAATTTATATCGATATATTTATATTTTACATTTACATGCATTTAAATTAGATCAATTTATAATTTATTGATCAATTTATATTTATATAACTTTATATTTACATAAATTTACATTACATAAATTTGTAGTTAGACATTGATAATTTGCATAAATGTATATTTATATAATTTTATATTTATATGAATTTATTTTATATAATTTATAATTTACCAATTTATAATTTATCAATTTATAATTTATATCAATTTATATATTTATATTTTACATTTACATGCATTTAAATTAGATCAATTTATAATTTATTGATCAATTTATAACTTATATCAATTGATATATTTATATAACTTTATATTTACATAAATTTACATTACATAAATTTACATTTAGACATTGATAATTTGCATAAATGTATATTTATATAACTTATATGTATATGAATCTATTTTATATCATTTATAATATAGCAATTTATAATTTGTTGATCAATTTATCATTTATTGATCAATTTATAATTTATATCAATTGATATATTTATATAATTTTATATTTATATGAATTTAAATGATATAAATTTATATCAAAATATATATATAAAATACATAAATATTGTAAAATATTTATTTATTAGTTATTTAGCTAATTAATCTTGGGGTTTTTTTAACCCCAGCCCTGCCTTCCTTGAAACCCCCCCCATGTGGTAGACTGGGGTCTAACTTGTTTAAAATGAAACAAGATTAGTCAAGATGAGAGGGAAAAGTCACCACCAGGTGATGGGAGAGGCCCTAGCAGACTTACGTGCATCGTCGCAAGTCTGGGTCGTCCACTCTGTCGCAGAGGTCCAGACCAAGCTGGCAGCACTTCTCGGAAAGCGGCTGGAAGATGTCTTTATCCAGGACGTTGGCCAGGATAGCCATTGTCTCTGCAAAGGGAACAGGGAAGATAGGCATCAATCGGAATTTCTCTCAACGGTGGCCATTTTGAGATATGCGGACTTCAACTCCCAGCATTCCCCACTCAAAAGCTTGGGGACCTCTGTCCTAGGCCAAAAGGCTGGATAGCCAGTGGAACAGCTTGCCTCCAGAAATCGTGGGCGCTCGATCACTGGAGATTTTTAAGAAGAGGCTGGACAGTCACTTGTCTGAGATGGTATAGATCCTCCTGCTTGAGTAGGGGGCTGGACTAGAAGACCTCCAAGGTCCCTTCCAGCTCCTATTCCTATTCTATTCTATTCTGTAATTCTATTCTATTCTATCCCATAATTCTATTCTATTCCAGATCATTCCGTTATTATTCTATTCTATTCTATTCTGTAATTCTATTCTATTCTATTCTATATTCTATCCCATAATTCTATTCTATTCTGTAATTCTATTCTATCCCATAATTCTATTCTATCCCAGATCATTCCGTTATTATTCTATTCTATTCTATTCTGTAATTCTATTCTATTCTATACTCTATCCCATAATTCTATTCTATAATTCTAATTTTTTCTATTCTATCCCATAATTCTATTCTATTCCAGATCATTCCGTTATTATTCTATTCTATTCTATTCCAGATCATTCCGTTATTATTCTATTCTATTCTATTCTATCCCATAATTCTATTCTATTCTGTAATTCTATTCTATTCTATTCTATCCCATAATTCTATTCTATTCCAGATCATTCCGTTATTATTCTATTCTATTCTATTCCAGATCATTCCGTTATTATTCTATTCTATTCTATATTCTATCCCATAATTCTATTCTATTCTATATTCTATCCCATAATTCTATTCTATTCTGTAATTCTATTCTATTCTATCCCATAATTCTATTCTATTCCAGATCATTCCGTTATTATTCTATTCTATTCTGTAATTCTATTCTATTCTATCCCATAATTCTATTCTATTCCAGATCATTCCGTTATTATTCTATTCTATTCTGTAATTCTATTCTATTCTGTAATTCTATTCTATTCTATATTCTATCCCATAATTCTATTCTATTCTGTAATTCTATTCTATCCCATAATTCTATTCTATTCCAGATCATTCCGTTATTTTATTCTATTCTATTCTATTCTGTAATTCTATTCTATTCTATCCCATAATTCTATTCTATTCCAGATCATTCCGTTATTTTATTCTATTCTATTCTATTCTGTAATTCTATTCTATTCTATATTCTATCGGATAGAATATAGAATAGAATATAATTACAGAACAGAATAGAATTATGGGATAGAATCTATCCCATAATTCTATTCTGTTCTGTAATTCTATTCTATTCTATCCCATAATTCTATTCTATTCTATTCCAGATCATTCCGTTATTATTCTATTCTATTCCATTCCATTCCATTCTTATTTCTTATTCTATTCTAATTATTCTATTCCATTCCATTCCCATTTCAACAATGGCTGCCAGGTTGCCGAAGGTTTTTCCTTACCGATCGACTGAATCTGGACGGGCCTGAGGTCTTCCCGGGTGGTCAGCATGTAACTCGTGAGGTGCTCCATGATGGCTTGGAAATACGGGAGAAGAGATTCCTTGGCAGCCTGGGCTGGAGGTCAGAAGGGATGAGGATCAGCAGGGAACGGGCGCCACCAGAAATGATCTAAGGATCTGGTTCGTGCTTTCGGCCTTCCTACAGCCAGATCTGTGACTCGGTTTGGCCCGGTGAGGGAGGCACCAGGCTAGAAACCGGGAGACGGTGAGTTCGAGTCCTGCCTGAGGCATGAAAGCTGCCTGGGTGACTTTGGGCCAATCATGAGACCGGGAGTTCCAGTCCCACCTTAGGTGCGAAAGGCGGCTGGGTGACCTTGGGCCAATGACCAGGAGATGGCGAGTTCTAGTCCCGCCTTAGGCAGGAAAGCTGGGTGGATGACTTTGGTCCAATCACCAGGAGACGATGAGTTCTAGTCCTGCCTTAGGCACCAAAGACGTTTGGGTGACTTTGGACCAATCATGAGGAGACTGGGAGTTCCAGTCCTGCCCTAGGCAAGAAAGCTGGGTGGGTAACCTTGGACCATGGGCCAATGACCAGGATGCTGGGAGTTCTAGTCCTGCCTTAGACGTGAACGGCGATTGGGTAATCTTGGGCCAACGACCTGGAGACTGGGAGTTCTAGTCTTGCCTTAGGCATGAAAGGCGATTGGGTGACCTTGGGCCAATGACCTGGAGACTGGGAGTTCTAGTCCTGCCTTAGGCATGAAAGGCAATTGGGTGACCTTGGGCCAACGACCTGGAGACTGGGAGTTCTAGTCCCGCCTTAGGCATGAAAGGCAATTGGGTGACCTTGGGCCAACGTCCAGGAGACTGGGAGTTCTAGTCCTGCCTTAGGCTTGAAAGGCAATTGGGTGATCTTGGGCCAACAACCAGGAGACTGGGAGTTCTAGTCCTGCCTTAGGCTTGAAAGGCGATTGGGTGACCTTGGGCCAACGACCAGGAGACTGGGAGTTCTAGTCCCGCCTTAGGCATGAAAGGCGATTGGGTGACCTTGGGCCAACGACCTGGAGACTGGGAGTTCTAGTCCCGCCTTAGGCATGAAAGGCAATTGGGTGACCTTGGGCCGACGACCAGGAGACTGGGAGTTCTAGTCCCGCCTTAGGCATGAAAGGCAATTGGGTGACCTTGGGCCAACGACCAGGAGACTGGGAGTTCTAGTCCCGTCTTAGGCATGAAAGGTGGCTGAATAATTGTGGGCCAGTTCCACGCTCAGGGTTTTGTGTGTGTGTGTGTGTGTGTGTGTGTGTGTGTGTGTGCAGATCGGCCTACCAATGGCTCCGATGGCGCTAACGGCCAGCTCCTTGGTGCGCGGAATCCCAGGAGAGGTCAAGGTGCTGAGCATCCTCTCCATCAATGCTGGCAGGTAGGGTGCAATCTTATCTTCTGTTGGGAGCAGAGAGAAATGGTTAAATTGTTAATCATTCCGACCTCGGCCATTTTGAGAGGGGTGGACTTCAATTCCCAGAATTCCCCAGCCAGCATAGAGTTGAAGTCCATTCCCGCTTTCAAGTTGCCTGAAGTGGAGAAACACAGCTTTAGGGCCTCTCGTGAACCCATTACAGGCAACCCTCAAGTTACAACTATTCTCTTAAGTGACCACTGCAAAAAAAAAAAATGTCATAAAACCGGGTCAGTCACTCGATGTTGTACATGCTGACAGAAAAAAAAGGCTATTTTAGGCCCCAAAATGGATTCCCACAACAGACGAATGGTTGCAAAAACTGAGGGAGTTAGAATTAACCGCTTGGATTAAAGAAAAAGACACAATTAATGCTTGTGGTGGAAAAACAAAATGAAACTTGGACTTTGGGTTTTGAGGTAGATTTGATGCTAGGCAACCTTGGCTCTTTTATGACTCGTGGACTTCAACTCCCAGAATTCCTGAGTCAGCATGGGGGAACTATGGCCTTCATGACTCGTGGACTTCAACTCCCAGAATTCCTGAGCCAGCATGGCTCACCTTGGAAATCTCTCCCTTTCCCCTCAGTGTGGCTGGCTCAGGAATTCTGGGAGTTGAAGTCCACCAGTCATAAAAGAGCCAAGGTT